AAAAGATAGCTTTCCCACAAACAATGCATGAGGACGAAATTATGCTTAGATGTTTGACTCGATCGAATAAAACAGGGGGAAAAAAAAAAGAGTTATCTACATAAATGATGCCACAAATAGCACATTGAATCTAAAAGTGCCCACTATTCCATTTATTTACAAAATTATCTTCTATCATACATACAAAGACAATAATATCCACAGATAATGAAAAAAAAGTATAAAAATAATGAAACATCAAAATAGGAAAATCTTAAAGAAAATCCTAATATAAAGTATCTGATTTTGTATGAGGTCAGACAAAATCTAACCAAATTTCATTTAATGAATCCTGCCTTATTTAGAAAAACGAACGCTTTCAAAAAAAATAAAATAAAATAAAAAAACAGTAAACACGCTCCATTTTTTCTTCATTATCGTTTTGAAACACCCAAAAACATAGGACACCTTTTTATTGCATTTCCTGTCCAAAAAACCTAAAAATTAAAGAAACGATCACTACACCAAAAGGGGCTTTTAATAACGTTTAATTATAACGTTTTTGAAAACCGTTATTAAAATTTATTTTGATTACATTTCATAACGTTTTAAAAAAGTTATTTTTAATATATATATATATTAGAAAATCATGAAATGTTTTGGCGGGTAATGAAATTTGAAATTTCTCTCTCTCATATTTATTTTTCTGCCTCTCCTTATTCTACATGTACTCTCTCTCTCCTTCTCGTTCTTCTCTTCCTCTGCCGAACTCTCTCTCTCTTTTCTTCCAAGAAAAATTTTTGAATTTCAAAATTTATTAACTCACTCGTTCTTGATCGGAATTGAGTGATTCTTGTTTCTATGAGTTCACAATGAAGAGGAGAACGAGATGACACCCATATTGCCTATGGAATCCATCACGCTCGGAAGCTCACCGGAGCGCCACCGTCGTCCGCGCCGTGAGCCGCCATCTCCGGCGGTGGAGGTCGACACTAATTGATTCAAAATGTTGAGGGCGACGTCGGGATGCTAAGCCCTCAAGAAATTTTGAGGAAGGAGCTTCTATTTTTGAGGTAGGGTTTTCCACTTTTTCCTCCTATTTGGTTTAAATTTGAGGTAGGAGCTCCCTTGGAAGATGCTCGATATCTTGCTCAACGATATGATAGAATGCGACAGGAAGCTGAAGCTCAGGTAATAATAGATTTTACGATGGTACTCTGTCCTATCAAAGATTTAGGGGTAAGACATATATTCTACTCTGCCATGAGTTTTGAACACCAAAAAAGGGGAGAAGAGAGTTATGGATGTTTAACAAAGTCTGTTACACAAACTTTAACATAATTTACAGCTTTCTTGATATCCGAAGCTTGATTGATGATTCATTCAAGTTGTTCGTTACATTATGATTTGCACCCAGACAGGCTATTGATGTATCTAGACGGCAAGCGAAGTTACGGGAATCCACAGGGAGAGCTGAATTTATCATAAAGCTAGAAGCTGCTGAAGGCAAACTTCTGGAGCTAAAGTCAAATGTGGCAACATTGGGAAAAGAAGACGCTGCAGCTATGGCTGCTGTGGAAGGTCAACAGCAGAGGTTGACTCTTCAGCATCTACTTGCCATGGTAATTCAATCATCCTTCTCCCCGTTTTTTCTTTTTTCTTTTTTTTTTTTTTTGGACACATAGACTACTACTGTTTTACTTCCTGTAAAAACGTGTTTCAAAGTGAGTTTTCATTTTGTTTTGCATTTCAGGTTGAAGCTGAACGCAACTATCACCAGAGAGTCCTCCAGATACTTGATCAGCTTGAGAGCGAGGTATAAAAGTTTATAGGAAAGTCATCAAGGTGATCACAGGCAATGTCCCGGATTCTTCTAGGCATTCAGTTGGTTGTATCTACTTTGTCCTTGGCGTGATTATGATTGAAATTTATTTCTTGTGAATAGATGTTGGCTCCGTTTGGTAATGCTTCTAGGAAGTCAAAAGCACTTTTTTGTTCAGCTAAAGCTGAAAATGGTGTTTGGTAAACACATAAAAATAAATTTTTAAAAAAGCCGGAAGCTGTTTTTTGGCTGAAATCAGAAGCAGCTCACAAGCTGCTTCTGATTTCAGATTATCCGGGAATCCAAACTCAGCCATTAATGAAATTTTGGTTATTCCCAAAATACCCCGATTCTCTTCCTCGTCCTCGAGCACACTCTCAGCCCCTCCCAGTGGCTGCTGTCTGGCGCCCGAGAAAGTGAAAGAAAGAAAAGTGGCTTTGGCTCTTCAGAAAGCTTTGCTCCACGGATTCGTTCGGTCAATGTACGACGAGGTACGGCATTTTCTCCTTCGTATCCTTCACCTTTATCCCTCCTTTGCTCCATCAACTATGGTTTCAAAATCCTCCGAAACAAACAAAAAAAAAAGAAAAAGAAAAAACGATCGAACAAGAATCTCTCTTGTGTTCCAATTCTTTGCGTTTTGGTGATCTGTATTTGTTGTTTCCATTAATCGATTTGCATTCTGATCGGTGTTTGGCAGTTCTCGCTTCAAATTGTTTGCATTGTGAAACAATCGCTTTCAATGCTGTTTCAATCTATTAAAGTACCGTGTTGTATTTATTTCTCTGTTTTTGATTTTGATTCAATTGGGATTCCTTGATTGATTATTGAATGAATGTGTGACTGATTTTCAGCATATCAATTTGTTGTCTTAGATCTGATTCTTGTGAATGAATGGCCATTATTTACATGTTTGAGATATTTGTGTTGTGTGTTTCTTGTTTGTTTGCGTTTCTTCGATGTTGCTCTTGACAATATAGAGTAGTGGTGTCTTAATTCTTAATACATATCTTTGAAAACAAAAACTCTTTTCTGACTTTTGCAACTCTAGCTTTGAATAAACATGTCGATCTCTCTATCAAGTGAATTAAGCAATAATATATGAACCACATAATGGTTAAAAATGAAAAGTTAAGAATACAAAGTTTTTACTTCTTTGACTTGGAATGACAGGCTTCTCAACTGAGATTTCCCAAAAAAAAATTTTCTTTTGATTTATATAAAAACTAGGGAATTTTCAAAAAAAAAAAAAAATTTAACATTTAGACGAATCAAAGAATTGAATACAAAGGCTGACCAAATCTGATTATATGAATCAGACTAGGATCTCTCGTAGGCCTATCTAGCTAGAGCAGTAACTAAACTAGCTATTCACAATTCTCTTATGATGATCAAATGGCAAAATAATCAACCTTAAAAGAAAAATAAAAAAAATATAAAAAAATAACTCAAGCTATTTGTCCATTTGTTTTGATCAGTCTTCTGTACTTGGCATCAACCATCCAGAAAAGCAGCCAACTTTTCATTACTCTTATTCTATCAACCAGTCTCCATCCTATCAGCCTACCCTAGTTTTTTCTTACACATACAACAACAACAAATCTTAATTCTAATTAATTAAGGTCGGTTATATAGATTTCACTTTTTTGTTCCTACTTAAGTTAATTCCTATTATATAATAAGAGCTACCAAATCTAACAAACAATTAATTAACCATATTTCTTAAAATCAAAACGATAAAGACAACTTTAAAAACCATACAATGTTAATATTAAAAATGTATCTTCACATTTAAAAACCATTTCGATACCCTTAGGTTAATTATTGCAACATACAAATTGTATGAAGAACTGAAAAGTGAAATATGATATCTGACCATTAAGGCAATAAACTTGGGGTTTGAGTTATATAGAGATATAAACACAGATCGTCATTGAAATTAGAGATATAAACATAGAGTTATATAGAGTTATATAGAGTTATATAGAGTTATATAGAGTTATATAGAGTTATATAGAGTTATATAGAGTTATATAGAGTTATATAGAGTTATATAGAGTTATATAGAGTTATATAGAGTTATATAGGCAATAAACTGTGATTCGTTTGATTCATGCATGCCAAGCCGGTTCATTGTCAATTAGTCATTGGAAACCAATTGAGGAAATCCAAGCTCTAGAACCTTCACCATTGATTTTATTAACACCCTTCCTCGAGGGACGATATCTAGATTTATCTATCTTATTTATTTGCAGCTTAAACTGTTTGATCATTTGCCATTTTTACCGTTCTATTCGTTTTTACCATTCAATTGCAATACTAGCAAGAATGGAGGTTGACACTCTTGTGGTTAAATATTGGTTAGCTATTTGTTCATTATCATTTGCTTAAAAAAGCCTTAAGCTGCTTTAGTTATTTTTATTATCTATAAATATGCGTTGGGTTTATAATGGTGGTAGCACTTTCAGTCATCATTTGTTCAAATGGAGGGTAGTGCAGCACAAGGTAAAGCGATATGGGATACCGAGGCAATACAGCTTTTTTGTGATTTTTGTATCAAAGAGGTTGAAGGTGGACACCGACCTGGGACACATCTTGACAAAGTTGGATGGGAAAATGTAATTCAAAAATTTAACGAAGCAACCAAACGAGTGTATAAAAGAACACAATTGAAGAATAAGTGGGATGCTTTGAAGAATGATTGGAAACTTTGGAAGGAACTTGTTGGGAAGGAAACCGGTTTAGGTTGGAACAATAAAAAGAACACTATTGATGCATCTGAGGAATGGTGGCATAATAAATTGCAGGTATACGAATAATATACGAATGAAGTTGCACATTATTGATAGTGTGTACATTTAGTGTGTGGCAAGTTTAATTTATTAAAGTATTTTTACAGATTCATCCTAACGCAGCGAAGTTTCGCACGCGGGGAATTGAACCAGAGTTTGAGGATAAGTTGAATAGGATGTTTACTAATACTGTGGCCACAGGGGTGTATGCTTGGACACCCGCATCTGGACAGATGCCATGTGAGGATGATAAAATAGCAAATGAAATGATATCCCCACTTGAACAACTTGAGAGTAGTGGATCGTCAGATGCACCTATTGGAAGAGAGAGGCCACAGGACCCTAAGAAGAAGCGTCCAATCGAGCTAGAAGAAGGACAAAAGAAATTCAAAAGAGGGAAAGGCAAGGATAAAGTTGGCGGTGCGGCCAAATTGTCTCAACAAATTGAGCGCCTTGTCACCGTAGTGGAGACTATTAGTACCGGATCATCCATTGCACAAAGTAAAGGACCAGATTATAGCATGACACGACTTGTTGAAGTCCTTGAATCTCTACCTGGATTAGAGAGTGGGAGCGACTTGTATTTTTTTGCTGTCCACTTGTGCGCAGACACGATTAAAAGAGAGTCATTTTTTGCTTTGAAACGACCTGAGTTGCAGCTCAACTGGCTTAAGTTTGAGTACGGCCTAAGATCATCCTCTTAAATTCCCTTGAGTGTCCCTTGAGTCTTCCTTTACTATGAGTAATATTTTAGTGTGGCTTTCATTAATTATGTACTATAATGTTGTTTTTCCATGCTTTCGAATACATTGTATTGAATATTGTACTCTATTTTTATCCATTAGACATTGATATTTTCTATTATTTCATTTGAACATTGTTTACATGCAGGTTTATTCATTATTAGCTGGGATGTCTGATAATATTACCCAGCTAAGTTTACAACTTGTTTGTGTTACTGCACACATCATTGAACAATATTATAATAAGTATATTCACAAAAATCCTTGTATGAACTCTGCTCAAACTGGAAACATGTGGGTAATGGAATTATTAGGCGGACATGAAATTAGAAGTTATAGAATGTTTAGAATGGATAAGGATGTATTTATGTCCCTATGTAATGATTTGCAATGTAACTACGGATTACAGGGATCAAGAAATATATCCGCGTTTGAAATAGTCGGAATGTTTTTGTTCATTTTAGGTCAGGGTGCGGGAAATCGTTCAACACAAGAACGATTTCAACACTCTGGTGAAACAATTAGTAGATATTTTGAGTATGTTCTAGACATTGTCTGTCGTATGAGCATGGATGTTATAAAGCCTGATGATCCAGAGTTTAATGGAGTGCCTCAAGAGATATTAGTGGATTGTAGATATATGCCTCATTTTAAGGTATTCTCGTAGTTCATAATATGTTTCCTTCCTTATTTAAAGTATTCATTTTAAACATAGAACTTTCTTCTTTTTAGAACTGTATAGGTGCAATAGATGGCGTACACGTTCCAGCTATAATACGACCAGAAGATCAAGTCCCATTTATTGGTAGAAAGCGTGTGCCAACCCAAAATGTGATGGCTGCCTGTGATTTCAATATGAAATTTACATATGCATATGCAGGTTGGGAAGGTAGTGCTCATGATACAAGAATATTCTTAGCAGCACTACGCCGTACAAGTTTGAAGTTCCCAAAACCACCAGAAGGTTAAAACCTCTTCTATATTCATGAGAACTCTGTTTTATTATTTACTAAGTCTTTGTGTTTGTATCTCAATAGGTAAATACTATTTAGTTGACGCGGGTTATCCACAATTAAAAGGATTTCTTGGACCTTATAGAGGAGAACGATACCATTTAGAACAATTTCGAATGGGTCGTCGACCAACTGGCTATAAAGAGGTATTTAACCAAGCACATTCTTCTCTTCGAAGTGTCATTGAACGCACATTTGGTGTCTGGAAGAAAAAGTGGAAAATTTTGAAAGACATGCCAAATTATGCGTTTGCAAAGCAAGTGAAAATAGTTATTGCTACAATGGCGCTCCATAACTACATTAGGAAGCATCGTAAGCGTGATCTACATTTTCAAAGGGTCGAGGATAATCTAGATGATTTCGTTTATAAAGAGAATCAACCAGATGACAATAATGTAGAAGAGAATGAAGCTTTACTATCACTGGAAATGAAGTACGAGATCAAATTGCAGTAAGCTTAATGAATACGACTTAATTCTTTTCATTTGAGTTAAGTTTGTAGGTATATACGTGTGTATTTGTAGGACTTAAGTTTGTATTTGTAGGTACATATGTGGTGTGTGTGTGGATATATTTATTCACGTGTGTGTGTATTTTGTATTTTGTTCTTTCCATGCATGTCATGTTTTGTAATTTTGAATGAATTGTCTACTTCAAAGATATGTTATGTATTCAAAGATATATTTTGTCTACTTCAATGAATTGTCTACTTCACGTGTGTGGGTGTGTTTTGTAATTTTTGAATGAATTGGTGGTGGCATTCTCTTTCCTACTGAATGAAGTAGCTCCTAGACCTCATAATAGTGGTCACCACACAATAGAGTCCTGCTACACCTCACAGTTTGAACAACATTTGAGGGCTGTTGTGGGTCTTCCACTTGGTGATCCATCAATGAAAACTCCTGCTGCAATCATGTATAATTTACTTGGTGAAGATGAGGGAGATCGAGGTTTCCTTTTAGCTCATCAACTTATTGGACGGGCATTGGGTATTCCTGGGGCTACTGTTCATTGGTATGATAAGCCAGGTAAGTTACTGCTCATCTTATATTTTTTGATGTCTAGCCGCATCTTTCTAATTCATACTCAATGCTTTCCTTTGTCATCATAATTATATGGCAGAAATGCGAAAGCAACGAAAGATGGGTCATATCACAATTGTCGGTCCTTCTATGAGTGATGTGGAGAAACCATTGGATTCAATGCTGAGCACAGAAAGATTTGATAGTCAGTCTGCAGGTTAGTTTTGTTGGGGGCTGTGTAATTTACCATGATGTCTTGAAAGTGAAGCTGCTTGGAGGTGCTCACACTTTTCCTTTGTTATGCCCGGTGCAAATTTCTTGAAAAGTGTGACCTTGAAATTATATTGAGCTTAACAACTTTTTAGCAATTTGTATTGGGCTTAGATGTGACCTTGAAATTGTAATTACGAAACTGTCATTTGCATTCATTTTGTTTCTTATTTGCTAAATGTAGTGACACCACGTGTTGGGATCATAATGGGCTCGGATTCAGATCTCCCTGTGATGAAGGAAGCTGCCTTTACTTTGAGTATGTTTGACGTGCCTCATGAGGTTAGCTCCCTTTTTTTTTCCAACTTACAGTTTAACTTGGGGATCATCTGCTGTCATACCTTATGCGTTTTAAACTCTACATAAGATTCCTTTTATTATAAATTTCAGGTGCGAATAGTTTCAGCACACCGGACTCCTGAGTTGATGTTTTATTATGCCTCATCTGCTCGGGATCGAGGTATTCAGGTCATCATTGCTGGTGCCGGTGGTGCAGCCCATCTACCAGGCTAGTTACATAAACACTCTGCTCCATATGCATTTTGACCTTTTTTTTTTGTTTTTTTGTTTTTGTTTTTGTTTTTTTCATTTTAACATTATTCCAGTTCTGGATGTGAATTTTAGGTATGGTAGCTGCGCTTACTCCTTTGCCAGTAATTGGTGTTCCTGTACGTGCTTCTACATTGGACGGAATCGATTCACTCCTATCAATTGTGCAGGTAACATTGCACAAATCCAGTTGCCTGCATCTTATTGCCTAGAAGCTGCACATTCCCATTTACTAGAATGTTTTTATTATCCCTCTTCTCTATCTTTTCTTGTCCGTGAAATGGATATTTGTGTGCCATATTTTGCCAAATCATGACTGCATGACAGTAGCGTCTGATTTTGTAGTCTCTGTATCAATGTCACGCTTTTCAATGTCTCTGGTGTTTCCAGCAAAATAGCTTAAATGTCTTGCATTAATTCTGCAGATGCCAAGGGGCGTCCCAGGTGCAACAGTTGCTGTAAACAATGCCACAAACGCAGGTTTGCTGGCTGTAAGGATGTTGGGTGTCGGTGACAGCCATCTAGTAGCAAGGTTAGATTCTCCATTTGGTTAAACAAAACATATTTTTTTTTAGAGCAATGAAAAGTCATTATATTGATTGCTTATGTTATTGATGCGGCGATAAACTTTGTGCAGAATGAGTCAATACCAAGAAGACACGAGGAGCGATGTCTTGTTAAAGGCAGATAAGCTAGAAAAAGATGGCTGGGAATCTTATTTAAATCCTTGAGAACCATATAATTTCTTTTGGTGATATGTATTCATTTTTGTCATTCAACAAATTATATTATGGCCAACCTGATCAAAGGTTTTAGAGAAAACCCCATTGCCAGACAAGTTCAGCAAGTGAATAAAGACTCGGACATTAAACAAAAAATATTAGAACGAGAAGTAGAAAAAGGAGAAAGGATATGTGCAAATAGGTGAGCAAAGGGAATCATCAAGATTGTTAGCGTTAAAAATATTTGCAGTTTGACAGTTTGAGTGATGATGCAGGGATGTAACTATTTTTCTTTCCCATGTATTTCTTTATTCAACTGTCATCTTGTGATTCATAAAGGAACTAGGGCAAACTTGTTTGGAGAGATTTTGCAATTTTTTTTTTTTAATTGATAAGAAGCTTGTATTTTCTTTTCTTGCTTCCTAGTCTTGAGAAGCAAAACGTCAATTTTCCGTCAAAAAGATGAAAAGAACTTATATTGTTTCCCATTATCAGTTGCTATTTACCACAAAGTCAGGCCAACCTTATCCTCTAATTGATGCGGGGGACCGACCTCTATGAATGATTTTATCCAAGCTTTGGCTTAGATAATATTTTCTTTACAAGTTACTTTCTTTTTAAAATTGATAATTATGATATTTGGTTGCGTTAATAAAATTGACAATTTATCATTATGTTATTTTTAGTTGTAATTTTATTGTGAATAAAGAAATAAAAAAAAAGAATTAATTATCATAAATTTATTGTTAAAAAATTTAAAATCATAACATTATGTTTTTTTTTAAAGTTAAACAACTATTTTTAAATATCAAAAACAATTATATATATAAAAATTACATATCATGTCTATTTTGGTCATTTTACATACCTACAGCAATTTCACCTTAAAATTTACCAAACGCTATTTACTGATTTTAGAACCAGCACAGCTACTATAATTACAATTTACCAAACACTTAGCCGCTTCTTAAAACAGCTGTTTTTTTTTTCAGCACAGTTAAAAGCACTTTTTTTAAAATCTACAGCATTACCAAACTAAGCCGTTATCTGAGCGCCGGCGAATTGAAGCACCATCTACTCCAGCAACAGAGAACAGCATGCCTCCACCACCATCATATGAAGAGGTCAGCGGTGTCTTTGCTTCCGAAATCTATGATGGATCAACAGACAATGTGGATTATTTCTTGGGAGAGGTAACTTATTTACTTATATTTTCCATTTGCCATCCACGGATCTTTTCCAGTTTTAGAACTATTGAGTTGCTTACTATTTGTTTCATGTCTGAAGGTTGTGAATTCATTCAAAGCTGTAACTGATGTGGAGTTAAGTTTGTCTATTGGTGATTATGCTGTTGTCCGGAAGTGGCTATCTTTTTCTATGTTTGCATATTTCATTTTAGTCAAAATCTTAGAACTTTTCAATGTGTTCCCATTGCTAAATTTCCAATATTTTCCCCATTACATTTTGTACAAGCTATTTTCTTTCTATTTTATCGCCTTTGATTATACATTTTAATACTAAAATCCAAATCCATTTATTGTTTCATCGTCTCTAATGGCAAAGATATTTCTGGGCTTGTGCAGGTCTCAAGCAGTGGTTGGGCTGAAGGTGAATGTAAGGGAAAAGCCGATTGGTTCCCATTTAACTATGTGGAAAGGCGAGAACGTGTGCTTGCGACCAAGGTGGCTGAAGTCTTCTGAGGTTACCCAGTAGTAGAGCTTTTCTTACCTTTGTTTTTATTGGAAATTTTCGTCTCTTCTATTGGTAATCTAGTGGTAATTTTGGAGTTGAATTTACCTTGTCTTGTTAATTGGTTTTATTTGAATGAGCCACAAATACATGTGGAGTACTTATTCACGAGTTCATAAATAGCAGGGTTTAGTATCTTGTCCTGATAGTAGGAAAGGATGGTCGACTACACACGTGTTAATATTAACATGGTTTTGTAATGTGTATAACTGTTTCGAAGTTCTGTTGGTAATATGATTGAAAATGTAGGCAATGAAGACTCATGCTTTCTCCAACTATCTACATACCAATACATGTAAGATACTCTTTGTCTTACAAGCTTGACATTAAATTTTTGTCTAGTGCATCATTGAAGTCATGTTTCCTCTAACTCACTACAAAACATATGTGAATGCGGCTACGTAATTATGAATGGTGTAATTAGTCTTTGCTTTATTTATATGTTAAATGGTGGAAGTTTTAGTTGAGTTTGATTATTGTTTTGATAGTGGATCACTTTCTTACAGGTTAAACAGTGGAGATGACTTTTTTGTTAAAGCATTTTGTCAAGATGGAAGGATTTACTTCACTATTGCACTTAGACGTTTTGGAGATGACTTCTCTGTTTTCTTTACTTGTTTTGAATGTTAAGGTTTTGAACATTGTATGTATTATGTTGTACATTGTATGAATTATGTTGTAGATGTAATTGTATTGCCAGCTTGGTAGATATTGATAACAATTGATATGTTGAATGTTTTTATGTTTTAATTTGAATGTTCCTATTTAGATATATCACATATCTCGGGAGTACTATTTATTTGCATGAATTGAAAAGGATATCAATAATAATTTTAAAAAGTTACAAGAGTGAATATAACAAGGAAAAAAGTTATTAATTTGTATCCTAGCTATGCTAAAGAGTTGTAATAGGATGAAAATAGCTTGTCTTAAACGTTATAATATTTCAATTCTATAGCGTTTTTTATAACTCTTAAAACGTTATGTTTTCTTAGGACGTATAATAGTGTCTGCTGTCTTAGCGCTCTAAAAAGCGCTATTGTTAGTGATTAATAGCGTTTTTGGACTGTTATTGATGTTGGTATTTGTTGTATTGATTATTAACACAATTGAATAAATTAATCATATATATTAATGATGTATATTAAATTCGTAATTTATGATTGTCTCGTTAAAAACCTTATTAATAAAATCTCAATTGAGATAAAAACTTGGCAAGAAAAAAAGAGTACAATCATTTTATGACGAATTACAAATTTTATAAACTTATAAAGTTATACAATTACAAATACAATGTCAAAAGTAAATACATATTTACAAATTATAAATTTACAATTTAATTTGAAGCTGAATGATCATCTTCAAAATTAAATGTTAATTGATTAAATTTATCGATCCATTCTTAGCTTGCCGGCAAAATTGTATCTTGTAGATGTTGATCGGCTCGATCCCAATCCTTAATGCAAACTAAGGCTTCAATAATATCCCTTTGTAATGCATTCCGGCGTTCCTCAAGTATTATTCCTGTCATACTGAAGGCTTGTTCGGATGAAATAGTGGAGACTGGGATCGAAAAAATATCTATTGCCAATCGAGTTAGGATTGGCCAAGTTAATGCCTATGCCCTCCACCATTGAACTAAGTCAAACGATTATACCGTACCGTCAACTACTAAGCCTTCACTGAGGTACGCCATAAGTTCGTTGAAGCTGCCGCCGCCTCTGCCACTGCCACTTGTTGACAAAGATTCACTCCCAGCTTCTGTTTAAGTTGTCTTCTTCTTCTTCTTCAACCTGAAAACATTCAAGAATGAATGCGGGTTTTCGTCTTGTTGTTGCGGTTCCTATACTTTAGGAGGTACTCTAAACCTAATCTCATATTTACTATAGATCGAATATATTTTTTCCTTTATTATTGGATATTGGTCCGAACATTTGATGCCTAAAAATTCACCTAAGCTTTTTAAACCACTTTCTAAACCTTCTAATTTTAGTCTAGGATCAAAAATAGTACCTAAACCATATAACAATGGCAACTCACGGAAATTTTTGAGTTAAAAACTTGATTTTTTTAAAAAAAAATTCGGGGTGCAACGGCTACTTTAGGAATTAGCGGGTCGGGTTCGGGCAGCAACGGTAAAAAAACTAGCCGTTGGACGGGTTTTCGGGCATGTTGGGCATTCGGGTAAAATTTGGGTTTTCAAGGTTATTTTCGGGTCAGCCACCAACGGTCATAATTTTGACCGTTTTTTGGGCATTCGGGCAATTCGGGCTTGGCCGGAAAAATTGAAAAAAAACTCCGGCGGACGGCACCTACATGGCGGCGGGCTCCGGCGTGGTGACCAAATTCAGGCTGCCCGAGCCCGAATTTACAACTTTGGATCGGCCGACATATGGGCCTGCCCGCCAAGCCCGAAAAATTCGGGCAGTGGGCCAGCCCACCGGCCCAAAGTTCCACCACTATTGCCAACTAATAGTCCTAACAATTTATATTAGAAAAAAGGCAATTTTTAAAAATACCCTTTAAAATGGAGCATTTTTTTATTTTTACTCTTTTTCGCAAGCCCATATATTTCGTTAAAATGGAGTGTGGATAATCACTGAAATGGAGTTGTTCAAGGTGAAACAGTTTCTGGTCTTCTACCTTAGATCTAAGACTCATTCACCACGGGATTTCGTTGAAACTCCAGGAACTAGATCGTGGAAGAGAGGCAAGGAAGATGGTTCGGAGCATGTGGTAGTCGCCGCTCGTTGGCGGTAGTGCGTGAGTCCCATTCGCCGCCATGTCTGCGGTGCTTTTGTTGTCATTTCAAGAGCTTTTCTCCGGCACCACTTCTACCATGTTTCACACACCTCCAATGTTGAGGGGCTCGATTTTCCTGGTTTGATTTCTAAGGATCCTTTTAAGAATTTTTTCTGTTTTTCTGTTTTATGTTTTTATTTGTGTTATAATAACAGTGATGGTGTCCCCATCTACCAGCGTTAGGTCTTGACTAGAGGATAGTCTCCCCACCACTCTAAGTCCGAGTTATGTAGTCCATTTTGAGACTGAGATGTAGTTCATTTGAAGTCTTTTTTAAGTAGCCGAACTCTGTTATAGTGCCACTAGTTGGAGGAGTTCTCTCCGTTAGGGTAAGAGATGTGTTTTTATTGTCTAGTCATGTGAGTAGCATCTGGTTCTTGACTCTAGTTTTGTCATGTATCTTAACCCTTTAGTAGCTTTTTAATGAAGTTATGTCATTGCCTTTCAAAAACAAAAAAAGAAAAACTAATCAACATCACTCAAAAAAAAAAAAAAAAAAAAAAAAAAAAAAAACAAAAAAAAAAAAAAAAAAAAAAAAAAAAAAAAAAACCAAAACATAATATTATGCGAGTGACCATACTGTAAGTTACTTTTTCGTTATTGATAATGCACGTTATATGAACCGTTTGTTTTGATCTTGGGGCAAAAAAAAGTGAGATGCATTCATAGTGAGATTGTTTCTTCGGGCTCATATGAATTGGCTTAGAAAAAGCTGCTTTAAGCTTATTTAGTCTAAAAGTCGTTTTTAAATTTGTTTGGATAAATAAATTTAAAGTACTTTTGATTTTTTAAAACACTTTTGAAACAAGTCATCTCTTTAATGCGTATGAAAAAAGTATTTATAAATTTTTTTTATTTACATTTTTAACCTTTTATTATTTATAAACAACAAATTAAATATCTTATCCATATCTTTTAATTACATTATTTTTTATGACAATAAGTGTTTTTGACTTTTTGATTTTAAAAGCTCTTCATAAATATAAAATAACCTTTTCAAGCATTATCCAAACACTAATTAAAAAGTCTTAACTTATATTTATTTTTTTCTATTACTTAAAAGCACAAGTACAAATTATCTCAAACGGTAGCCCATAAAAGAAATTAAAAATAACACAAAACATTGTCGTGCTCAACTCAAGAACAGTAGCTCATTTCCTCTTTCTCTCAAGCTTCTTTTTTTTTTTGTTTCGAATTTTGCTTATTTTCTCTCAACCCTATACATACTGTTTTATGTTCGTTTTGAAACAAATAATTCTTTAATTATAATAACTATAAAATAATATCGCATATGAATTTAATTACTATCGTAATTACTAATGATAATTATTGAAATTATTAGTTGTAATAATTATTGTAATAATAGTAATTTTGATAATAACCTATAGATAAATTATTGCCGAACAACGATTAATTTATCAGTCAAACTAAATAATTGCATTAAGTGTGGAAAATGTTTATTTTAAGGTGTTAAAATACATACATGCCAATTCTCAATTAAAATTGGATCTTAGTTGTTGTGTGGGAAAATGTGATGGACACTTGGACCAACGGCGCCACGACACGTGGCTATACTTGTTTTTCGCCGAGCACCCAACCCTCGGCGCTTCGTTTCCCTCACGATCAACTATAGAGCCCGAAGATGAAGTCCATGATTAGGGCGACGACCCCATGAGACGTCGACGGTTGATTCTGCCTGGGTCGACACGACAAAATCCCTCGACAGCAGAAGAGATCACTAGAAGGGGCGAGAAAGGTTAAACAACCACTGACGACGAGAGGAACGTCCTTTTTCGACATAATGGGTTACATGCAAAGATAAGAGAGGTCT